GCTGTTCTCACTCAAAATAAAATGCCTATTGCATTTTTTAGCAAGGCATTGTCGGAGGGATCCCTGAATAAATCAATTTATGAAAAGGAGCTCATGGCTTTGGTGATGGCCACCCAACACTAGAGACCCTACCTACTGGTCAAAAGTTTGTGGTGCATACAAATTAGACGAGTCTCAGGTATTTGCTTGAACAGATAATAACTGGTTGGCAAAGCTGTTGGGATATGATTTTAACATAGTTTACAAATCAGGGGTAACTGCTTTGTCAAGGAAAGGAGAAGACAACGGGGATGAGGAGATGGAAATGAGGATTGTGGCAAGGCCTTATTGGCAGGTTTTGAGAGAGGTTGAGGAGGATGAGGTTCTCAAGAAGATAATGGAGGAAGTAAGAGCGGATTCCAATTCACATCCTGCTTTTACTTTGGAGATTGATAGACTTCATTACAAGGAGAGGACTGGTGCTGTCAGCCAAATCTATATGGATCCCAAGCTTCTAGCTGAGTTCCATACAACAAATACTAGAGGACATTCAGGGGTTTACAAGATGTACCGTAGGGTGGCTCAATCCTTGTATTGGGTAGGGATGAAGAAGTCTGTTATTGATTTCGTGGTCAGTTGCTTGGTGTGCCAGCAACACAAGTACTTGGCATATTCTCCTCAAGGCTGGTTACAACCTTTGCAATACTGCAAGCCATTTGGGAAGACTTAAGCATGGACTTCATAGTCCGGTTGCCACAATCACAGGGCCATGATGCGATCTTGGTGGTGGTTGATCGCTTGAGCAAGTATATCCATTTTATCCCCCTAAGGCATCCTTACATTGCCAAAACCATAGCAGAGATTTTCGTTAAAGAGGTGGTTAGATTACATGGGGTGCTAGTATCAGTGGTCAGTGATAAAGATCCTCTATTTTTGAGCTTATTCTGGAAGGAGTTATTCAGATTGCAGGGCACCCAATTGCAAATGAGTACAATATACCATCCAGAATCTGATGGGCAAACCGAAGTACTGAACAAAATATTGGAAGGTTATTTGAGGTGTTTCTGTTCAGAGCAACCGAAGAGCTGGAATATAGTTCTTCCATGGGCTGAGTACTGGTATAACACCAGTTATCAAGGTGCGACTAAGTGTAGCCCATTTGAGACACTTTATGGAAGGGTTCCTCCTGCCCTTACTCGTTTCAGGGGAAACTGGAGTAGAAGCAGTGGCTCAAGATCTCCAAACAAGAGATGAGGCGCTCAAGCAGCTCAGATTTCACTAAACAAGGGCGCAAGATTTAATGACCAAATATGAAAACAGGAAAAAGAAATCAGCAAAGGTTAAGGTTGATGATTGGGTGTATCAGAAAATTAGGCCTCAGACAAGTCTTCATGCCAACACGGTTGCATCCCAAATTATCAGCACGATATTTTGGGCCTTTTAAAGTGATACAACAGATTGGAAAGGTTGCTTTTAAACTGCAGTTACCCAACACAACAAGATTACATTATGTATTCCACATGTCTCAATTGAAGGTAGCAATGGGCACAAAACAAGTTGAGAGGGATTTGCCAGATAGATGGTCCAACGTTCTGGCCTCTCAAAATTCTCGACAGAAAGCAGAAACAGCGGGATGATGAGATGATACCACAAATTTTGGTTGAATGGCAAGGGGGAAAGAGGGAGCAACATGGGAGGATGTGCTGACCATCCAAGAACAATTCCCAGACTTCAACCTTGAGGACAAGGTTGCACATCTGGCTGTGGGTAATGATAGGATATGGAGAGTTTATGAAAGGAAGAGAAAAAGGAAAAAGAGGCGTTAAGGAGTTAAGGAGTTGTAACTGTAATAACAGTTTGTTGCGGGAAATAGAACTCATATAAGGGAGCTGATGTATCTTGTATTAGTTAGTTTTGGAATTGTTTACTTTGTATAGACAGGATCATTCTTATCCTGTGGAGGGAGAACTTGGCTGTCTTGGAGGTTTTGGCTGTACAGTTTACCAAATTCAATACACAATTACTCAGTTTATTGTCTTTTCTGCCTGTTTGGTGTGTTGAGTGGAACTGAGATAGGTTTCCTATTCTGAAACCTATCAATAGTTGAGAATTGTGAATCGCTCAATTTTGTTTTTTAAGTTAATGATAATCATAGCAGAATGCTTATGAGCAAAGTTTTCTTTCTTGTTACTGATTCTTGATGTTACTTTTCATATTCTGTTTGTCATTGCCTTCTTCTGAACATAAATCGTACTCATTCTCTCTCAGAAAGAAAACTGTTAGATTTTTCTTGTGTTCTATCGATGAATTCCTAACTGCAAGCTGTCTAAAATTCTTACATTTTACTGCCACCCATAAATTGCTGCTCGCACATGCTTGAAGCCTTGTCTCCATCAAACTTTAAATCAGTTACACAACCACAAGTTCATAGACCATGATTCCTATCATCAATGTTCTGTCTGTGACTTTGGAACCATGGATGCCAACCATATGTCAGCAAAGATCCTATTTCTGTTCAGCATCTTTGCTTTCATTTAAAAGATGCAAACTAAACTGTGTTAAACCTCCTTTATCTGCTTTTATGTAAAGATAAGACTGGTGTGAGCACATCATTTTACATCATAAATTCTATTTATATTGCAATTTACTATAAAAAATCGAGGATATGGATGTATTTTTATAAAAAATCGAGGATATGGATGTATATTGTATTGGTTAGAAAGCTAAGACATGACATGAGGCACCTACAATAGCATAGATACTCAAATATAACACTTAAAAAATTATGGGCATAATAATACAAAATCAAGGATCAAGTATAAAATTAAAACAAAAAACAGAAATCGAGAGTTTACTGTTTTAAAGTTAGCATATTCTAACCAAAGGGCTATCATATATCTACGGCCATTCTCAAATATGTTGGTAAAAATATTAAATATAAAAGTAAAAACAAATTATAAAATTAAATTAGGAGCATTTTAACTGTTTGACACAGAAACGTGTCCAACTCACATGTACGACTTATATCTAGAACTTAATGTGCTTCCTTGTTTGCCATCTTTGTCATGCTTGTGTTATTAAGAAAATGTTAGGATATAGGGTATTTGGATATAATGGGAAAGGGGATTAGGACAGAAGGTAGAGGAATTGTATAAATAGATTGTTTGGATAGTTAGAAGGCAGTTTTTGAGTACATTGTTTGTTGACAGGCCTTAGACCTGTGAAGAGGGTTATGCCTCTGCATCTTGTAAACATGCATCTTGTAAACACACACTATTCTTTCTGTTAATAATACACAATTCATCATATATCTCTCTGTTTTCTTGGTGTGAGAGACTGTGAGGGAGTTCTTGGTTGGGTTTCTTGTTCGGAAACCTATCAATTGGTCCGACCTGCCGGATCCTAATTGGAGGAGTGACGAGTGTGCGTGATGGAGGGAAGAGTAGTGGCGGTAGAAGGTCAGTTGGAGGCGGTGGAAATCGCAATGGCAGAGACGAAGGCTGACACGGTGTATCTGCGACATGAAACAGGAGCCTTAAGACAGAACTACAAAGCAATGCGTCAGGATATCCAGGTGATCCTGAAGATGTTAGGGGATCGCAATCGCGACCCAAACGACCACCGCCAAGGTGGCAGTGAATCGTCGGTGAATGACAACGATGGCAGACCCGGCGGAGATAGAGGAAGAAGAGGAGAAGGGAATCAAGAAGGGCTTTCTAATTGGAGGAAACGGGTGGAATTACTGGGGTTTGAAGGGGGCGACCCATTGATTTGGATTAGTAGAGCGGAAAAGTTCTTTGAAGTGCAGAAGGTGGCCGAAGACGAGAAATTGCAATTGGTGTTCATCAGCATGGAAGGGTATGCAGCGTATTGGTTTCGTTTTTGGAGGGAAAAAACCAAGAACAATTCTTGGGAAGGGTTGAAAAGGGCGTTGGTGATCAGGTTCGGAGAAGGGGGATGAGGGTTCGTCTATGAGAGGTTGGCCGCCATTAAACAGGTGGACCAGTGAGCGATTATGTTCGGGATTTCAAAGTGTTGGTGGGACAGACGACAAGGATCCCTGAAGAACAACTCTTGGGATACTTCATGGCGGGACTCCAGGAAGAGGTGAGTGACCAAGTGAGGCCCCATGATCCGCAAGACCTAATGACCGCCATGCGAGTCGCGCGTGATGTAGAGAAGCTGTGTTCCCATTCGAAGATCGGAGGCGGACAGTCGACCAAGAATCCGAGCTCTTGTGGAGGTGCGACGAAAGTAGTAACAAGAACCGAACCCAGTCGCGAGACGCAGGGCTGAGGGGGAATCGCTGAGAGCGTGGGGTCCGTAAAGAAAGAGGCGATTCAAGGAGGCGGTATCGCGAGAACCACCGGCGACGGGAGGGAAAGGAATACTCTTAACCTACCGTACTCGGAGTTCGTAAAGAGGCGAGAGGAGGGAAGATGCTTCCGGTATCGATGCCTAGAGAGGGGATTAAGAATGTTGATACTGGCCGAAGAAGAAGAGGAAAAAGAGAGCGAGGCTGAACCAGAACCCAAGCCTCTTGACTTGAATTAGAGGACATAGCCAGTGGGTTCCCTTCATATGGTAACCCGATGAGGAAGAGGAGCCATGAGACCAAGCTTCCCGATTCCAACCTTGGGGACAAGGTTGTTCTGCAACGGGATGCAATGTTAGGATACAAGGTATTTGGATATAATGGGAAAGGGGATTAGGATAGAAGGCAGAGGAATTGTATAAATAGATTGTTTGGATAGTTAGAAGGCAGTTTTTGAGTACATTGTTTGTTGACAAGCCTTAGACCTGTGAAGAGGGTTATGCCTCTGCATCTTGTAAACACACTATTCTTTGTATTAATAATACACAATTCATCATATATCTCTCTGTTTTCTTGGTGTGAGAGACTGTGAGGGAGTTCTTGGTTGGGTTTCTTGTTCGGAAACCTATCAAAAATTGTATGAATTGATGCTATATTTGTGGGAGACACTAACTGAATTTGTTCTACGAATATATCTGGAGTACTGATTCTTCTAATCTTATCATAATTAGTGACTGAGCTTCATTTCAACTGATGCTGTTACCTTAATTTATTTTGTGGTTGAATTCCTTAACTTGGATTTTGAATTGTTATATTGGCGAGTTTCAGTCCAGAAGTCTGATATTGAAGAACGAGAATAAGAGATATCGTCCACTTTTCTTCAGAAAGGTGTGTTGATTTTCCTGCTTTGAGTTATTTGAGATTAGGTAGCTATAAATGAAGCTTAGATTTTGTTTTTATTTTTCACATCTTGTAATCTTTCACAGGAGGATTTGGAAAATACACTGAAATCGGCAGCCCGTGAACAGAGCAGATTAAATCCCACTATGAGACAAGGGGATATCCAGGTACAGACTACATGACACCTTTCAATGTATGACTAATTGTTTCATAAGACTAACCCATGATTTATTTTTCAGGTTGCCACTCTAGAGGACATAATAAAAGAAATGAGGGTGAGTGTCAGTTACAGTAGAAGATGAGAGCGTAGATTCACTTGATTGTGTTTGTTACTCCCCTTTTTGAGGGAAGGGTCGAAGGATTTTTTGTTATTATCTGTATTTCTTCTATATGTAATGAATTTATTTTGTAAATCAAGACTAAAAATGATAATTTTTGCAGGAAAATTCTACATCGAGCTGGGATGATGTTATTTTTATACCTCCTGGATTTGATGTTTCTGACGACTCCAATGAGCAGTAGGGTAAGCTGAGGATCATTCATGTCATGTTTTATACTTCTAGGTATGACACAGTTGTTTAGATTTTGTGCATACTACAAACTTCTGGGTGCAAATTCTTGTAGTCTTCAATACCAAATGTTATTGGAATTTGCGTTTTCTACCTTGGTTTTTGGTGTCAAGACGGTTTTAACTAACAGACTTTGTAATCTTTATTCCTGCTGTACGCTAGCTGAAGTATGAAACATGTACACCATTGAAGGTTCATCACTTGCAATTGCGTTGGTGGTAAAATCTCATGTATATTTACGAACGTGTTTATATCCCAAATTTTGTTGTTACGTTGATTTTCAATTTCGTTCTGTTAATAAAATAATTTCATTTTTTTAATTTGCAATATAAAGTATAACTTAAAGTTAAATTTTAGAAGATAAATTAAGGGTTGAAAAATGAAAATCAATAGAAGGTAAAAGTCAATTTATAGATTTATGAACCAAATAATTTTCTTTTATATGATTCCGATATAAGTAAAAATGAACTTAAATAACAGACTCAATTTATTAATTAAATTAAATATACAAATTAAATCAAAATACTATTTAATCTAATTTATATTCAATTATCAAATCAAGATTTAATTAATTTGTTTAATCATTTACCAATTAAATTGATTATATGAATTAAGTCAATATCATTCAATCTAATTTATATTTTATCATCAAATTAAGATTTAATTGATTTTTAATTTAATTTTTAAAATTATAAATGTAAATTATACATACAAAGTGCAAAAAGTGAAATTGATGAAGAGAAAAACAAATTCAATTTGATTTGTTTTATTTTTATTAGTGTTGTGAAAGATGGATTATTTGATTCGATTTGGTCTATCACATGTTAGACACTCTTCACTCTTGGATATTCACTTTTTGAGAAGAAAAAAAGAGAGACTAAAGGTGTTCACTTCATCTTATTTATGTGGATTTGTGGATGAGGATTTGAGGGATGAGGGTTAAAACTAATCCTTTTTAGATGAGAGGATTTGAGGGATGAAAACTAAAATTACAAAATAACCCTTAATAATAATAATACAACTTTCTTTCATGTTAAAAATTAATTTTTATTTTTTCTCTTCTTATAATAATTTTTATAATTATATATAATATTAATAATTACAATTTTATATTACGTTTATAGCAGAGTGAAAGAGACACCAACCCTTCACTATACACCTGTAAATTTAAGTGATATACTTTTGAGTGCATGAGTGAAACACGTAAAACACTTCCCTTGGTGAAGAGTAGTTCTTTGAATTCATGATTTCATCTTTGCTTGGTTGAATGATTATTCTTAAGGATAACATCTGTTGAAGTACATGAGCATCACATTGAGTTTGATTGAATTAAAGCATATGTACATCTTGATTGACATCTTTATGATGAGCTGATAAAAGTGATTACTTGTCCTGGAAGAAAAAAGTTTTGAAATATGCTGAGCCATTGTAGTAATTGTTGAGACAAGCTAAGTTACATTTTGTTTTGCTTGAGGACAAGCAAAGTTCTAAGTTTGGGGTTGTGATAACAGATGAAAATACCGTTATCTGTGATGAGATTTTGATACTAAATGCACCCTTTTCTACTTAGAAACTTGCTTGAAATCATGTTTTTCTGTTAAGTTCTGTGAATAAGAGAGTTAAGGTTGAACTTGATGATTTTATGACTAAATTCCCTTGTTTTGGCAGGAAATGAGATAATATGGAAGCAAAGCTAAAGTGCCAAGGAGATGGAGCTCAGAAAGATCTGAAAAAGCACCAGAAAGTAGGAACACCCGAAGCTTCAACGCCCTTTTTGGAGCCCTCAACGCCAAGGCCTATCGCACACTGCCTGGGCGCCTTTTCTGGGGCGCTGAGCACCACTTTTCCTGAACCACGCCTGCTTGCCCTGCAAGTGAAGCTGAGCGCCAGTTTTAGTATCGCAGCATGCCCAGGTGTCCTAAGTGGGGCACTGAGCGCCAGCGAGATGGGACTAGGCTTTGTTTCTGTTTTGATTTCGCTCTATTTAAAGGACCCAAACACCCTAGGTTTGGTATCTTTGGAGAGGAGGCGCAACAACACACTCTTCCACTCTCTAAAGGCGGATTTGGATGCGGGAGCTTCCATCTTCATCTTTTAGGATTTTTCTATCTCATTCTTCTCCATTGTACATCTAGTTTCACCATGACAATGGGGAACTAATTTCTATTTGTTGTTGGGGGATGATGTAACCTTGTGAACTCTCATGTATTTGAATTGATTCTTAATAATTTATGCTTCTTTCATTAACTTTTAGGGTAATTCTTCTGTGATCAATGCTTGCTTTGTTTAACTCATTCATAGCGTGATGTATGAGTTGCATGATGATAACGGTTGAATTTACTGTTATTTGATACTTACTTTGATATTAAAAACACCTCTTTTGGACTTAGAAACTAGCTTGGAATCATAGTTTTGATGAATAAGAGAGTTGAAGGTGAATTTAATGGTTTTGTGCTAGATTTCCTTGTTTTCAACAGCACTCTTTTTAGGGGCGCTAAGCGCCACTTCCTTGAGTCGCACCACGCTTGCTGCCTTCTGAGTTGACCCTGAGCGGCAGTTTTGACCCGTATGCCGCCTGGGCACCCTAAGTGGGGCGTCGTGGGCATGGACCCGTTTTCTATTATTTTTATGTTCTATTTAAGGACTTGGATGTCCTAAGGTTCACATCTTTGGACGGAATAGGCACAAAAACACACGTTTTGATCCCTCGGTGGCGGATTTGGATGCAGAAGCTCCTATCTTCAATTTCTAGGGTTTTATCTTTCATTCTTTTCCATTATTGGAAGATATCTTACAATTAATGATCTGGAGAATTATTCCCAGAAGCACCACGAGGCTTTCCAATGTGCTTTGTCCTCACTCGCACACTTTCCGGGAAAACTTCCCAGAAGGTCACCCATCCCTAAATTACTCCAGGCTAAGCACGCTTAACCATGGAGTTCTTATGGGTTAGGCTACCGAAAAACAAATACATTTTGGTGATATGAGTAGCCAAATCAATCCCTTTAAGCTATGTTTCAACTGTATAGTCCTATACCTATACAGTCTCTAGATCCCTCTCATTCCGGTGTATGTTCGATTCATCTATGTGTCCCTTCCACTGGAAGCCTGCCAGGAGCCGCTCCTTGTCAGTGCCTCTTGCACCGACGATCACTCCCCGTCCTCGTTAGTGCCCGGGTGTCACATGCCCACCAACTTCCGCTTGGTTCGTCCTCAAACCACAATGTACTAGGAGAGGCTAGGCTTTGATACCACTTGCCGGGGTGTTACAAGTGGTATCAAAGCCTAGCCTCTCCCAGTACGGTGTGGTTCGAGGACGAACCAAGCGGAAGTTGGTGGGCATGTGACACCCGGGCACTGACGAGGGCGGAGAGTGATCGCTGGTGCAAGAGTCACGAAGTGCAAGGGGCACTAACAAGGAGCGACTCCTGGCAGGCTTCTAGTGGAAGGGACACATGGATGAATCGAACATACACCGGAATGAGAGGGATCTAGAGACTGTATAGGTATGAGACTATACAGTTGAAGGATAGCTTAAAGGGATTGATTTGGCTACTCATATCACTAAAATGCATTTGTTTTTCGGTAGCCTAACCCATAAGAACTCCATGGTTAAGCGTGCACATTGGAAAGCCTCGTGGTGATGTGTGGGGGCAGTCAATATTTCCTGTAAAAAGTCGAACGTAAAGAAGAATATGACGTTCTGTGGTTAGTTTAAACGAAAAAGAAAAAAAATAATGAAGAAGGAACTAAATAATAAAACGTCCAAGCCAGTATAAAATGACGTTTTATGGGTTGATTTAAAAGAAAAACAAAAGTATAACTGTAATATACAACGTCCTTCTTTTGTTACAGTGGACATCATATTAATTAAATCAATATTTAGTATTTATTTATTTTGTATTGGACATCAGTGGTTTCCTTGTGGACGTTATGTGATTACGACCATCACGTCCAACCCAACTCGAACGACGTTCTATATTGGTTTAAACGTCGAGCCCATAAAGTAGGCGATGTTCTCTTTGGTTTATAAGAGAAAAGAAATAAAGATAAAAAAAGGGATTCACTTGCTGGCATATAAAACGTCGCATATTTGTCATGGTTGACGTCAAATGTGGGTAGGAGTAATACTGACTGGAAGCAAACCACTATTTCGGTATTTTTTTATTTTGAATTGAACGTCAAATGTTTCTTAAGTTGACGTTATGTGATTCTAAGGTCATTGTTTTACGTATATCTGGGCCTTGTTTGATGTTAATACATTTTAGACAGCGAACTATTTTAGTAAATGAAGTGGAGCGATTGAATTTATTTATGAAAATGCCACCGGTCAGTTTTAACATTGGATATTTTGAGTGGTTGGACGTTGAACGCGTGACGCTATACGCGGTTTTTGCACTATTGGACATCGGCTGTTTCCTTAGGGACGTTATGTGATTACAACCATCACGTCCAACCCCAACTTGGTCGACGTTCTACATTGTTTTGAACGTCGACCCCATAAAGTGTGCGACATTCTGTTTGGTTTATAAGAGAAAAGAAATAAAGAATAAAAAAGGGATTCACTCTTTGGCTTCATGCGGACATATAAAACGTCGAATATTTGTCATGGTTGACGTCAAATGTGGGTAGGAGTAATACTGCTAGAAGCAAACCTCTATTTCATTATTTCTTTTATTTTAAATTGAACGTCATATGTTTCTTAAGTTGACGTTATGTGATTCTAAGGTCATTGTCTTACGTCGATCTGGGCCTTATTTGACGTTAATACATCTTAGATTACGTTATGCTCCTTGATTGACGTTAATAAATTTTTGACGGCGAACTATTTTAGTAAATAACGTGGAGCGATTCAATTTATTCACGAAAATTCCACCAGTCATTTTTAACGTTGGATATTGAGTGCTTCGACGTTGATCGCGTGACGTTATACTTTGTTTTTACACTAGTGCATCCATCAAGAATATTTGGAAAAAACGAATGGCAAATACAAAAAATGTTGTTATTGGGAACATAAATAAATGTAAAAAAGGGCATTAATATACAAAACTAGCTTGTAAGGTGAGGTCTACAACCACATATATACTATAAAT